TGATGTTTAATATTTAAAAAGATTAGATGAAAAAGAGAAATCTATTTTATTACTTAGAATCTTTTTTATATATTTTAAGTCAAAAAAAAGAAAAGCCTTAGCCTTAATTTCAATAAAAAAATGTTTTTAGAGCCAATCCCCATTTTAACTTAATTTTCAGATTCAACTAAGTCAGTCGAAAAGTCGATAAATATAAAATTGTAACTTTCATGAAACTCCATTCGCGATATGATAATGCATTCGCGATAATTAATTCGCTATAATGCATTCGCTATAATGGATTCGCTATAATGCATTCGCTATAATGCATTCGCTATAATGCATTCGCTATAATGTATTCGCGATAATTCATTCGCTATAATACATTCGCTATAATGCATTCGCGGTAATATATTCGCGATAATGCATTCGCGATAATTCATTCGCTGTAATGTATTCGCTATAATACATTCGCGATAACATTTTCGCGGTATTACATTCGCGCTAATACATTCGCTATAATATTTTCGCTGTATTATATTCGCTATAATGCATTCGCGGTAATGCATTCGCTATATTATATTCGCGATAATGCATTCGCTGTAATGCATTCGCTATAATATCTTTTCGCGGTAATCGACATTCGCGATAATGCAGTCGCGATAATGCATTCGCGATAATGCATTTGCGCTAATACATTTCGCGATAAAATTTTCTCGGTATTGACATGTAACCAGTTATATTATTATAGACTGCTCAATGATTAAAAAAAACATGTCTAAAATAATAGCCCTTTACAAAGAAATAACCTTTATTTAATAAGTCTATGTTTATAATGATTTTAAGGTTAAATATTTTATGTATTTATAAAAAATTTTCTAATTTTATTTAATACGCATATAAATATAAATTGCAAGATATTAAATTTTTCAAAAAGATACAATATATATTTAACAATTCATATATAAATAAATGTAAAAAATTAAATCTGTGAGAGAAGGGAAAGGGAGTTTTATAGAATTAAGGCATGCGTGTTAACAATGTTTCCTACCATGTTTTTATCCTTAAAAAAATAATTTGCAATTTATCTTTGCAATTATTTTCGTGCAATAATGTTATTATTGATTTGTTTCTTAATGAATGTATGGTAATATTTATATGTAATAAGCAAAATGTCTTGTATAAAAATATTGTATATAGCCAAAGAAAGAATATTTTTCTGAGACTAGGCCTAAATTTACATGTATGTTGTGACTGTTTACGCCTGGGCATCACATAACGTTATGCCAACCGTTCAAAGTACCATCATCTAAGGGTAATATATTATGTATTATTGAAATCGAAGGTGTGATACTTTATCGCACATCGAAAGACCTTATATTAGTTTATTATTTTTAGATTATATGATTGAACTTATTAATATCATACCAAGTAATGCCGTTATTGTTATGGACAATGCATTGATCCATAAAAGCCATCTCACTGATAGCTCTAAATAGTGAATATAATATTTACCAACCTATTCTCCACAGCTTAAATAAATAGAAAATTTCTTTGTAGTATATTAAAAAATAAATATCTCCGACCAAATACAAGACACGAAATCGTTCATAATGTTCGTTCATAATGTAACATCTATTCTTAATGAATTTACTATTCCTTATGACTTTTCAAATTATAATAATAAGATACATCAATATTTTGAGATTGGTTATCGAGGACAACCAATGAATTAAGGTAAATTTATAAAAATATAATTTATATTGAAATATATTTTAAGGAAATATGTATAAAATCGGAATAAAGAAAAAACGAAATTCAAAATATCTGATTTTTGAAAATCATAATGTACTTTTTACATCTGTTTTGTTATATATTATCAGTTATTAACGCTCCATTTAAAAGTAGCTAGTTCCCGCTCCTACCATCTCAAAAAGAGCTAGGTCTCGCTACTAAATTTTTAAAAGGAACTAGCTCCCGTTCCAAGTAATGGAGTGCCACTCTATCAGCTCCTTTGATTTTCATTTGTTTTTTAGAAAGTACACGAAACAAAATCATATTTTATTTTATCAAAAAAGGTTTTATTTATATCAAATGATATATCAAAATATTTGTAATCTTTTATTAGCTTTTATAAATAATTAATTTTCTAAATTTGAATCTAACAAACATCCACGCCTCTCCCCTAAAACTGTTTAGCAATTTTAAACAGGCCCTCAATAGGAGCACTAGAGGGAAGTAGGGAATTGTATTTTATAAAAATATTTTCTGATTCAGGATATTATCAAAAATAGTAATTTTGAATCATTATTTAAAAAGTATTTGTCCAAATGGAATTCGAAAAAATCTTCCAAATCATTGCAGGGTTTACGTGAACTAGTAGCTACTTTTGCATCAGGAATTTATTTTCTTAAAAAATTAATTAATTTGTATTTTAGTTCTATATTTTGTGCATTTTTTATCCATTTCCAATTTAATTTGAATGCAAGATGGATTATAACCGCAATGATATTTTCGTATAAACATTTGAAAATCTGCAATAAAGTTATTTAAATAGATAATTAACTTTTTATTTCAATTTCTTCTTTTATGATGTCTCGATCCATAATATAAAAACTACCTTTTATCATATAGAATATTAATGTGACTTACAAGTTTTTCAAGAAATTTTCAATATAAAAAGAAAAAAAAACTTGATATTTAATATTTTAAATGATTAGATGAAAACTCACGGCCTTTATATCCAGTTGCCTACTAACTAAAAACATAATAAATCCCAATTCTTTGAAACCCGACTCTTCTTTTAATGATGCAATCATCGAATGGAGGACACGAATTTCTGCGGATCACCCTCTTCTTGAATCTAATAAGCAGAAGAACTGGGATAGGCCTATTATTGCACTCTGCGTTGAATCACTCCTTTCCAGAATGCAATTATCTGACCGTCCCTTATTCTCTTCTTTGCTTAATGGTTCAGGCCATGAGTTTCTCGAGGCCATTCCGTCTATTAATCTGCAATTACAACTAAATAAAAACGAGCTCACACATGCAATTGGTATCCGTTTAAATTGCCTTATTACCCGACCCCACATATGTTCAGGTTGCGGCTCCGCAGTTTTGGGCAATGGAAGACATAGTCTTCATTGTCGCTCATGTAAAGGTCGAATTGTAAGACATAATCTATGCAATTCGATTATTCTTAGAGCTCTTAGATCTGCTCAAATCCCCTCCACTCTTGAACCATCCGGTCTTTTCAGATCTGATGGGAAACGGCCTGACGGTATTTCGCAAATTCCTTGGAAACGCGGTCAATTCCTGGTCTGGGACTACTCTTGTATTGATCCACTCGCTCTATCAAATCAAACAGTCAATATACTCGAGAAAAAGGAGACACTCAAAATAGCGAAATATTCCGAAATCTCTCAAGAATATATTTTCATCCCCATTATTTCCACTACCCTTACTACTTTTGGGAAATATGCCTTATCCTTTTTCAAGGAACTCGGCTCCCACATTCGTCAACTAACCGGTGAACCCCGCGAGGGCTTCTTCTTAAGGCAAAGGCTCTCCATCGCAATACACAAGGCTAATTATATTAGCTTCATAGGCAGTCTCTCCCCACAAGATTATCCTTCCTAACCTCAATATATTTTTTTTATTTTTTTTTTTAACACCGTCACAAACATATCCTCCAATACTATATTTATTTATTTTTTTAAAATGTTTTTTTTAATATGTATATAAATATATATACAAATATTAATTATTATATATTTTTTTAAATTAATACATTCTTTATATTTTTATATAAAAATAATATATACTACAAAAATGTCCAATTTTTTCAAAATTGACACTGGATTTATTGTGCTTATACGATATTAATTTTATATCATAATACTAAATAACAATAAAATATAAAACTCGGCTCAACATTTAATATGTCATAAATTTAAATAAAATTTCATTTTCTTTGAATTTTAATTAAAAAATTTATTAATATTTAAAAAATAATTTAATTTATACATTTAATTTCAAAGAGCGGTGGAGCGGCGCTCCTCCACTCCAGACCTAAAAGGAGCTAACTCCCGCTCCTGATTTTTAAAAGGAGGGGTTCTCCAGGTGTTTTTGAAATAGGTAGAGCCTCTCCTTAACAACTCTGTATATTATATATTGGATCGTCATTAATTTTTTAAATATTATGAAAAAATATAAATACACATTGTTTTATTTTTTAAATATTTTATTACAAATATATTATTTTACCCTGTATTATTTAGTATATATATTATACTACTATATAAAATAAAAATATATTTTATTATATATTTAAATTTATTTTATAAGTTCATCTTTATAGTTCATAACTTTATAGATACCAATACCATATTACCATAAAATTTTTTTTTTGTTTTATTAAAAATATTTTTTTAAAAATATTGGTTAATTTTTTTCCCCCCTTGAATCGGACTGCCCACCTGAAAATATTATTGTAGTGGACAAAACTAGCTTTATCCATGTAGGTTCACCCATTGGAGATGCAAGTGCTATATTGCCAAATTTAATAGAATGAAAAATATTTTAAAACATTTACCTGCTCATTTTATTTACTTAGAAATTTTTTATTTATTCCTAAAATTTTACATACCTTTCGTTCATCAACAGTCCCTTGAAATATTATTAGACCTTGAAATTCATTTAAAAAGCACTCTCGAATCTATTTCAAATATCAAATTCTAATCACTCTCCTAGATGCAAGCTACCCTTCTGCTAAAGTTAGGAGGTAGAGGTATCCATTCCCATATCCTATAGCATTTCAGCCCTTTTATCCTCTGTTGCTAAATTTTGATACACACTTGGAGACTTGGATATTATCGATCCACATCATATGGCAACATTAGACTTCTGGATAAAATGCTCCAAGCCGTTCATTCCAAATTATATAAGACAAAAAGACTGAATTCACCACTGATACAACATTGCGTCAAATACCTACTCTGAGTATACAGAATGACAACAATATGACTCATTTCCCGGATCAAATAATTCCAGCTTCCAGCCTCAGCTATATGCCACTTTGGTTACGACTGGTTAGAAACCATACCTAGTTATAATTTAGGTTTGTTACTAACCAACAAAGAACTTATAATAGCTATAGGTGTTTTTCTGGATGTAAAATCGTAACGCCGACATTATGTGTACGATGTGAAACTCATATCGATAGCCTTGGATACCACCCCCTACATTGTCGTTTTTCAAAAGGCAGATTACCCAGGCACTATGCCATCAATTAGATCATCAATAGAATCTTGAAATCCACAAATATCCCTTTTACTTTGAAACCCTCTGGCCTCAGCCCTGATAATCAAACCATACCTGATAGAATGACGCTAGTACCTTGGAACTAAGGTACCCCTAGCTTGGGATTATACATGCTTAATAGATCTTTTTGCCAGATCTTTTCCCAACTTCATCACGAAAGATGAAAAACAATGTTCCGGTAGTCTCAGACATCTGTGGATCATTTGGACTCCAAACCCTAAAATTATTCAAAACAATAGGGCAAAGGTTACATTAATCACAGGTTATCCAAAGAGGGCTTCTACCTACGACAAAGAATATCAATCGAAATTTGTCAATCCAACTGTATATCAATACATGGGTAATTAAGCCCCGCCGACCAAACCTAAATATTTTATTTCTTTTTTTTTATTCTCTTCTCTTAATTTTATATATTTTTTTTAATAAAATATAGATATAGCATGTTAATTATAATTTTAATATTCCTTTAATAAATATGATAATTTTTTAGATATATAAACAATAAATAATTGATATATTTTATATTTCAACTTTAATAATATTTTATATATTTCTTCACACCCTTGAAGACCTAGATAATTTAAATAAAATTATAATCATTTTATCAAAGCCACATCCTATTTTATATAATATAAAGAGATCAGGAATAAAAACACTAGAAAAAAGGAGGTCGGATATACTTTTTCAATGAAAAGAATGATAAGCTCAGGATAGAAAATTCTATGAGGTTGGGAAACAGGGATTTCAGGGTTTCTTTTTTTATATCTGTTAATTTAAAAATTAAAATTTTTACTCATAATGACCATAAAAAACATCCAGATCTTAATGCTTTAATTCATTCAATATCATAAAAATTATCCAGATCTTTTATTAATTCATTCAAATGATAAATTAAAGAAAATATATTAATAGCAATGTATTTTTTCCGGCAATATGTTATTTTTTCAACTTTATAATCTAAATATCTGACTTTACCCCAAATGAATTGCATAATGTTTGGAATACCTACCTTATGAATTCCAGATAATTTTGCCATAAATATTTGAATTATTTCGTTTTACAATAGATTTGATTAAAAGAAACTTATTTCTTCCATTGAAATTGCCACATATATAGGTCATTTATATTTAGCTTGTAATTATTTTGATAATGGAATTATTTTAAAATCCTGTAAAAACACATTTATTTAATAGATAAATTAAAATATGAAAATATGAAAATTTGTACATGTTGGATATAAAGATTCATTTGAAAAATGTGCAATGCAGAGACATGAGTATTTGTTTGGTTTAAAAAATTCTCTTTAAGTGCATTATTGTTAATTTTTTTTTTAAATGAAAATTTTTTTTATTTTATGATTAGAAAGAGAAGTAATACTTTTTTTGATAAAGGTAAATATAAAAATATATCTTTGAAATCTAAATAATTAAGCCACATCCTACCCTATACAATAATATGAATAAAAATAATAAGTCAGAGATATTAACACTATGTCTGTAAATTAAAAAATAGTAAAAAATAATATTAAAAATTATATATACTTATATTTTTATTCATGATGTTTATATTATAATTCAGATGTAACTTAATTTTCATTATAACAAAAAATATATAAATGTATGCTTACACATATGGAAAGAAAAACATCCTTATTTTTGCTGAGCTAAACAAACTTTTACATGGATTTTAAATTTATGTCATTTTATATTACAAAATATTTATTCATATTCTGTCGTAAATTAAGCTGCTATTTTTGTTATATAAAAAAACATACAAATCAAATATTTTAAAGTCCTCTCTCTAGCGGTAATTTATTTGTTACTTTTATTATATTATATAAAAATTGTTTAATATAAATATAATATAATTTTCTACATTCATTAAAATATGTATTTTTAGAAAATTATTAATTATTTTTATATTATATATTTTTGAAAAATTTAACGTTAAAATCATTTTAAACATAGACTTATTAAAATGAATGTTGTATCTTTGCAAATGGCTATCAAATAAGCGATGTTTTTATGACCATTATAAAATTGGGCGTTGAGCAGTCTATCTTAATATCTATGGCTAAACGTTAGATGCAGGCCATACCTTTCCTCTCCTTTCTCGTTTATATTAAATGAATTCATATGGTTGCCACTCCATATTTAGTATCAATTCATTTCTGTTGAAATGGATGCGATCTCAAATTTTTTTTGCTGACAGTGGCTACAAGCTAATATTGTCAGTCCAAACTATTTAAAATGCAGGAGAAAAATTTTATTACATATATGAGCCCTCTCCCCCATATTTCATTTTGGTCTGGGTTCTATGCAGGGTTCGGCAAAATTTTCAAAAAAAATGTATTCGACAAATATATTTCAAAAAATTTTTTTTGAAAAAATGTATTTAAATATAAATATTTGCCTACAAAATATTTTCAAAGAAAGTATTTAAATACAAATGCTTCAACGAAAACTTTTTCCACAAATAAATATTTTAATACTTTTGTAAATCAATTTTTTTAGTATCACATCAATTTTTTCTTAAAATAATATTTTATTTTTATTATTAACCATTTCTAAAATGATCCAATATCTAGTAATACGTAAACTTGATATATATTTATCATTGCAGCAGTAGCATATCACATAAATTATGTAATAAGTGCAAATTTAATATCACTGTTTTGCAGATAATATAATAAATTGCTGGTAGATGAAATCACTCCATTTATGATTTTGATTTTATTTTTAATAGATATTACATTTAGCTGTCACTATAACTATATTTTATTAATTTTTGATGATATTTTGAAAAAGAAATTCCATTCATAATTGTCAAATAACATTTAGAAGATGTTATCATTGTCACACAATCCGTGTAAAAATTTTATTAACATAATAACTTAATATCGAATCTCCTTTTCTTTACTTATCATATCTATATCAACTTCAAAAAAACTTGTGTTTTCACTTTCGGTAATAATCATTTTAGAAATAAAACAGAATTTAAAATGGATGATGTTAATTTTTGGTTCCCTTCGGTCATAAATTTATTATGATAATTAAATGAGGATTTATATTTTAAATTCAATTTATAAAAATATTAAAAAAATGAATTCGTATTTGTATTCGTCTGAAAGTCATACAGTAAATAAAATACTTTCTATAATACTCAAATAAATACTAATATTAATATATTTTTAATACAAATATTTACGTTACTGCCCAATTTGAGTTCTACGGTATGTGTACCTAGTAGACTTGCCTACAGATTTTTTTAGGCAAATATTTATATAATAGAGATAAAAATTTCGGGGAAAATAAAATTGGGGTAATTGAAAAAAGGGTAAATAAAATATGAAAAATTCATGGAAAAAATAAGACAGTTATATGTAGTATATGTTAGCGAATATAAAATAATAACACTCATTGTCATATCCAAGATTTATTAAAGGGAAGGGGGAACTAGGGGTACTTATTACAGGCTTTTATGTCCCCAAATTATTTAACGTGATTATTTAATGTATACTTTGGTTGTCTATATTACTATTACTTTTGTTACGCATATCATAGTATTTAATTATTACGGTACACAGGGTATCATTTACATCTAAAATTATTTTATAGAACTAATAGGCTCCACCCATGGAAGTATAATATAACAATAAATACGTTCTTTCATTTACAATATATAGTTGGTGTCATTTATAATGATTTTATTGATTTTAAATGAAAACATATATTTTTTTGGGAATGTGGACTAAAAAAAATATGTAAGGTTTAAATTAATTATTATATCGAATCAAATTCATTTGTTAACAAAATGATATTTATATTAATATACTAACCAACTACCAAAAATATACATTAATAATTCTTTCAAATAAAAAATTATTTCATATATATCTATCATCGACGTAAAAGAAAAGACTGGATGAGGGATAAAATATTTATTTTCCCAATTTTTATTTTTGGTATTACAACTTTATTATGATCTTAGATCTCTGTAAACAATATTATTTATTTAACAAATTTTCTTGAATTGCATACTAAATTTTTATATAAAAACTGAAAGAATCCAGGGGATTTGACTTCTCTAGTCTATCATATTCATATCATATGATGTTAAAATATATTTTACAGTTAACCTTTAAGCGTAATATTAGATCAAAAATAACTATAAGAAAAAGAAGATAAAATTATTTCTCATTTAAATATCCTAATCACTCCTTTCCCCCATTTATTTTAAAATCGGGGCTACATTCTCGATTATAATTACGATCATGCACTAAATTTAATAATAAATAGGATATACAAGAGACGAAAAGGTTGGAATCGCTAAATAAAGAAGTGATAAATAGTTATGAAATAGAAATTGGTAAACTCTCGGATTATATTACCCACATCAATAAAAGTTTTTAAAAAAATTTTATTTTATAATTTTATATAAAACAAAATTTATATAAATAATATAGAACAAGATACGTTAATTGATACAATAAACGCATTACAAAAATCAACTAAGGCAAATTTAGATACGCAGAAAGAAAATATGGATTTGAAAAATGCTCTGTATAAAATTCAAAGAGAGAAAACTATTTTAGAAAAAGTTCTAACGTTTAATAATAGGATATTATTAAATAATTATATATATATATATATTAAAGTTATCATAAATATCGATTAATAATTTTCTCGCCCTTATTTTAAAAGGAAATCAACGATCTGAAAATCAACCATAAATCAGATTTAGATACCCTGAAAAAGGAGGCTTTATTAAATTATACAAATATGATGAATGAGAAAGAACACGAATGTAATTTTCATATTGTTTTAATTTTTAACAAAAGAGTATATAATTGCAAAATTTAAAATCTTTGATAATTCTATTCTGGGCTTTATATTCGGACTTAGGAGATTTCATTTGCACCATTTATGAATTCTATAAAATTTAACTAACTAATCAAATATAAAACGGGTAACAACTTTGCCAATTGATTATAAAAACTACGATTGAACAAATATTCTTTCAATTAAGCCCATGGCCCTTTGAAATATATTATAAGTGAAATGTGCTCGTTTCTTATATAAGGTTAGTTACACGTTATAAGTATAGTTTTGTTAATCAGAGTATAGACTGAGACCAGATAGATTGTCTACAATCACTTGGAAGTAAGGCAAATCTCTTATTTGGGATTTCCCTTTTATCTTCACTTTTCCATCAGACAAAAATCAGAATCCCATTAATAACAGAAATAAGGAAAATAAAAAAGTATTTAAAATTATCAAACTATTTATTCATTCCGATTGTATTATAACAAACGGATATTTTTCTCCCTTAACATATAAATATATAAAATGCTCAAAAATTATGTTATTTACTAATAAACTGAGATAATTTCTCTTTCTACTGCAAAAAACGCAAATTGAAATGTTCAAATATAACTATGGCTCCTTTTGGGAACCCAAATAAACAATAGTTAGCCATGATATTATAATCGTTTATAATAAGATTTTTTATATTATCATATGATTGATTAGTACTAATAATTTTTTTTTAAACATAATTTTTGTTAATGCTATGTTATTATAAAAAAAGTTACAAGTTGTAAGTATTATATAAGTTAAAGTTACATTATTAACACAAAATTTTAAACATAATACTTAGAAGATATATATTGTTTTGCCATGCATGCAAAGATACCATGACGTTACAAAATAACAAGCAAGAATACCAAAAGTTAACGACCCAAATGGCTAAAGCTAATGAAAAATCGGAAACTGTAGAGAATCAATGTAAAGCTCGAATAAGAAATATTACTATGGAAGTTAAATTTATAGATTTTGAAATATATTAATTAATTATAATTTTGGATAATAATAGTGCGAAAACAAAATAAGCAAAATTTGTAAACTGCAAAATATGAAGAGTATATCTACCCAGAATACAGAAATCTTTCAAAAGGTAAATAAAATTAATATTAAAACATTATATATCAAATACCAGTATAACATCTGCTTTAGAACCAAAAGTTTAAAAATGCAAAAAAAAGGGAAAAAATTACAAATGAGAAACTTTTGTAAATAATAAGATTTGAAGCAACCTGAATAAAAATATTAAAAGAGCAAAAAAGACATTTGAAACAGGAATGTTTTAAACCAGTTTTATGTTCTTATATTTTTATTATTTTATTATAACTCGTGTGTGTAAGACCGATTCTTATTATTTTTATAACAAAAAATACTTATAAATAAAATGGCAGTAGGATTTGTTTAAGTTATTAAGTGAAGGTAATTATGATGACAGCGAATTATTGATATTAAATAATTTTATTTAATTATCCACAACAATTAAACATTAATATAAGATTTATGAATATTATTATACTATTCAGAAATTGGAGCATTTAACTATGGAAAAGGACAAGGAAATCTCAGAATTAAAAATGGAGATAAATTCTTTAAAAAGTCGTGTCAATGTCATGAGTAAAACTCCATTTATCAATCCAGTGCGAAATACTTCTAAAAGAACAAAATAATTTTAATAAAATCAAAAATATTATCGTATGAAATCTTAATCGTATCATTTATGTGTTTTATGGAAAATTTATAAATTTTGATTTAATTTAATAAAGCAGAACCGTTTTTAAATTTAAGGCGAACCTGAATTTTTCAAAATCATTATAACTTTCATCTAATCAGCCCCCTTAACTATGGGAGATTCCCGAGATGGGCAGTCCTCCCCAAAACAAACATGGGCTCCAAATTTGTTTCTAATATAAACCCCCCCCCCCCTCAAAAAATAAATAAATATTGGTCTCCAAATAAACAGTCGCACCCCCCCCCCCTCATTAACTAAGACTTCCTGGCTATCGATCTGCTAGTTTTTATTCATATTTTTATATATAATTGTTTTATATCAGGGTTATGCATTTAAACGGTTAAATACGTTTCGGTCTATTGACCGATATTTGACAGGTCAAATACGGTCAAATTCAAATATATGTTTTTTTAAGTCAATATTAACTTTATTTTGAATATAATAGTAAAATGAATCTATAATATTAATTTTTTAAAATCAATGTCATTCAATAACTAACGTTTAGCTCTCCGTAGCAGACTCTAGTTTTGATTTATATTTACTAATATTTTTTAATCAATTTTTCTGATGTCTTAGATTTCAATCGATTTCTATTTTCAAAAGAATATTAACCCAAATCGACCTATTTCTTTCTAAAGAAGTTGAATTAGGAATTGTTAGTCACTTAAAGAGCATGATGGGCAAAGTTTAATCTAGAGGTCGGAATTGATTGTTTCTTGTGGAAATTACTCTTCCCACATAATTTGCTATTAAACAAGCTGTTTTTGCTTCTGAAATTAATTATATCACTTAAAATACTTTGATCATCATCACCTTGTAAAATAGCTAATTCTTGAATTATATCACATACTTCATTAAATTCACTACTAATGAGATGCTCCTCTTGATATTGGGGATCCAAAAAATAAGCAACATTATTATCATATGTTTTCATATCATATCCTTTTTTAAACATATTTTTAATTATTTTTCCTTTAGATTTTTTTAGAATATTTGACCGTATTTGACAAAGTCAAATAGACCTCCGGTCAATTTACTGAATTTGACCGGTCAATTGACCGACTTGCCAACCTTGTTTTATTTATATACATCTTTTGATTATTCAAGGGAATATTAGATGATAAATTTAAGTGTTTATGATGTAAGAATAATAACTAATACATTCAAACTAGTGTTGTTAAAGGAATCGATTTGAGCCGATTTTTAAAAACGGCTAACTCAATATTTTATCCAGAAAAATACAACGCAAGCCTGAAGATTTTGTTCATAGGTGGCACAAAGGTTTGGACATTTATTAATGAAATCTCAATATTTAGACAATATTTTTCTGGCTAAATTATTGATTCCGTTTTTAAGAATTGGCTCAAATCGAGCTATTAAACAACATTAATTCAAACAATGATTTGTTTAGATTTATTTTGTAAAAAAAATATTTAAAAAAAGAGAAATGGTTTAATCGAAAGGTCTTATATCAAAACCCCATTCAGAGAATAACTGTCTCCTGAGCTAATTTATTGGCCCCGAGACTTTAGCATTCAAATATGTGTGTGAGGACTATTTTAATAAGCAGCGTAGGGAAGGGATCCAATACTTACTCCCAAATATGCCAAAAAGTATATCAATGAAAAATTAAACTCTAATATCAAATGTTGACCCGAAATATTCATAATTACTATGAATAAATGGATACATAAATGATTCTTATAAATAAAATTAGGTAAATATAAGTCTTAATTTTAGAAGTATCTAACGGAATGATCTAATTTATCTAAAAAACAGTCGTTAATTTGAAAAATCTATATCCAATTTATGTTCCTATTTCTTTGTCATAGTTATCTCTAATTCTTGGGAAAAATGTATTATTATAGCCAGACCTTTTTCAGGGTACTAGCGTATTTCCAAACTTTCAAACACTATAGCACGTCATATGACCCTCAATTATATTTCGGATTTGTAAGACTCAGTGCTCAATGTTTAATACAATCCTAATTTTCCGAGTTTTGTTTGAACCTTTGGCCAGATGGGGTGCATGAAAATTAATCCATCGATGAATTAAAAGTTAATGTAAAAGACTCTTGAAGATATACAAACAAAAGTTTATAAAATAAAAAAGCAGCCATTTTAAAAATAAAATATATAGAATCTTTCCCCATAATATTTAACGACTAATATAAATGAAAAGTATACTTTGTAGAACACAAAATGAGCAAGGCTATCAACAATGTTTTAGGATATAAATCCAGAAGGTCAATTCTTGACGATTTGAAAGATGTGCAAACATATGCAATTCTAACAGATGCATCTAATAAGGAGATATCAAAACATTTCCCTTGATCCTCCCCTATTTCAACAAAATTAATGTCATTTCAATAAAACTATTAAAAAAATTTTCTCCAGATATGAAATATCCAAAGACATAGCTAACCATATATAATGGTAAATATGGCAGATTTGGCATTACCAATGAATTGCATGGCAGCTTTCTGATCTGATAATTCCTCAGTGAATTTGGCAAAAACCATAGTGTATTTACAGAATTGAGTCAGCATAATGTTGGTTGACAGGTTCCTCCTAATACGCGCCATCGTAGAATTTTAAAATTTTACAAACCTTTAAAAAATAAATAGATTATAAAAGCTGTATTACAAGTGCAACAACAAATTTGAAAGAAATGTTTATTAAATATAATGGTTAATTTAATATAAATAATTATTTCTAAATAAAATTACTTATCTCTTTAAAAAATATTTCAAAAAAAAATATTACTAAATTTAAAATAATAGTTTAAAAGTTAATCCCCTTTACTTTTTAACTTTATCATATTAACTTTGAAAGAATGAGGCGATTATATATTTATTGGAAAAGTATTATATAATTTCTAATTTTATATATTTTTATATTAGGTTAAAACATAAACTTTAATATAATACAGCTAATTTATAGGGGGATTTCATAATAGATAATACATAATATTCTAGTATGTGGTATATATGTAACATAAATTTATATATCTAACTATTTTTTTAATATAGGAATATTATTTTTATAAAAGAATAGCCTTAAAAGGCTAAGCTATGTGTAAATTCAGCATTATGCTTAAATCAAAAAAGATTAACTCTTAAGCATGCCTAAAAAGACGAGTTTCAAAATTACGACAATAGTAGGGGAGACCGGGGTACATTGAGTACAGGGGAACGTTAGGACATTCTAATTATAATTTGAGCTATTATTTTATAAGACTGGAAATTTGAGCCTAACATAGATAATTTTGTCATACATGATTGGCTAAAAAAGATTTGAAAAATATTTTGTATTTTAATTTTTACAGAAGAAAATGTGTTTTGGCATACCAAAAGTAATAAAAAATATTTGCAAACTTTATCGTTTATATTTATAAATAAAGCTTCAAAAATCATAATAAATAGATTTTAGGAAAGCCTAAACCCTATTTTCCAATCTGGCAAACTTTCAGAATCAATAAACATGAATTAATATGATTTTGGGGCTCGGTCATAGTTGGTCATAGTATAGTTGGGACACGCCATTTAAGCTCATTTTATAAACAATTTAATAATTTTATTATTAATTTAGTATTGTGAATAATAAATAATTAAATACTTATCTTTCACTATGTTTATGATTAAAAAAAAATTTTTTACATTTTTTTCTTTACAATTTTTTTTTTCGCCTGTTTATATAGTTATTGATTATGAATTATAATATTATCAATAAAATCATATGTGTCATAGTCTCTAGTTTTACTGGATTACTGATTTTAAATTTTTAAATTTATTTAGACCTCTATTTCACGAGTGTCCCAACTATCACATATGTGTGTCCCAACGTACACAGAGTCTGTCATAGTTGGGACAAAAAAAATTTTTTTTTTAATTCAATTTTCTAAAAAAATTTAATCTTCATAAAATATATATTAATTATTTCAAATAGCCTATACTTTTGGGATTCAGAAGATATTTTAATTATTCAGATTAGTCTACTAATATTAAAATTATTAAGGTTTGAACGAAAAGTGTCCCAACTATCTTCGGTCTCCCCTAATGTTGTTATTAGTGATCTGCATCGGGCCTAATTTTTCAAGCCCGGTCCGAACCCGAAATTTATTTTAAAAAAGTTTAACGGCCCGGCCAGGCCCGAAATTTAAATATAGAAATTAATTTTTATAATTACTTAAAATAAAATACATACGTTATATAGCGTTTAGTTACAATAAATTAAATCAAAATTTTTTATTTTACATAAAAAATTCATTATAAAATTGATAAATTTAGATATATTTAATAAAATATCCAAGGTCCGACCCGACCCGGCCCTAAATTTTTTTAAAAATATTAGGCCCGGCCCGAACCCAATTATTTTAAAAATATTAGGCCCGGCCCGAACCCAATTATTTTAAAAATATTAGGCCCGACCCGGCCCGAACCCAATTATTTTAAATAGAATTAGGCCCGAAGCCCGTTCGGGCCGGGCCGGGCCTAACTTTGCAGATCTCTAGTTGTTATCATGAATAATTCCCATAATAAATTCCTTCTTTCTCCTATAAAATTTAATATAAATAAATATTCAAAAGGTCTACCGCCTCTTACAGTCCTGCCTCATTCTAAATAAAAATAGGAAATCCAATTTAGTAAAATATAACGCTTTACAACCCTCTCCTTCAATTTTAATGATAATCTTGCGTCATTCCACTCCTTCCCCCACAGACAGAAGTGACTGGTTATTATAATACAGAAATAAAGATAAAATTTTCTTTAACACTTATGGAAATTTACAGGTCTTATTATTATTTTTAAAATCAATATTAATGTAACAAGAATTTTTCTATTATATACCATATTTTCAATAAAAATATGTTTAAATTTAAACCTAAAAATATACTAAAAACCAGATGGGAAATTATGCTAATTTAAATTCTCTCTT